ATACTTACTGTTTTGGACATTTTATGATCCAATACATAGTTGGATATGTTAAGTGGTTTGCATGCTGTGCTGATGGTATGAAAAGAAAAGAAGGTCCTCAGAAAAACGGGTTTGATTCGTACATTTTTAATCAGGCCCGTCTTTAAATGAGATGAAAAATGGGGAATAGGATTATCGCTCCAGAACGTATACTAGGGAAGCAGGTAGAAAGGACTTCATGGTGGAGGAGGGGACTACAAAATTATCAGGATGGACTCTCAAAGTCCAACTGAGTCTTTTTGGTCATCAGGCCTCTCTCTTGTACCTACCCAACATGTAACCAAAGTGAATACGATTGTGATAGGACAGCGCCTTGGTGAAATTTGCGTAAAATTATCTTCAACACATTTGTCTCCTATCTAGGAGAGCTTTAATTGCCTCAGACGGTAAATAACTGCATAAGCGCGAGAACCAGAAAGCGCCTACTTTACGCGTTGATTTTATTATTTTGATAAAAATTGAAGCATACTGACAATCTCGTTTTACTTCCGATAATTACTTCATATATAGCTCCTGTTTTGTCCTGATACTATTATTTCGAGGTTCGTGATAACCCCCTTTCCGTTTCCTGCATTAATGACCTCAGCGTGACCGAAACACGAAACCTTAGAGAAGAGTTCGCTGTCCACGTCGCCGAGCGTTCAAATTGTTGTCACCCGTTAGTTGGCAGGCTTGGAGTGTCAACTGGTGCATAGCGGGGATAATTAAGATTAAGGCCATTATCACGGCATTCGGCGTATGCCTCAATCGCATGAGGCAAGCAGGCCGAAATCTTCCACGAGCCGCTACAAATAGTTGATTTGGTCATCCTATCCACACTGAAATTTAGACAGCATTTACCTTTTCTTGTTATGGCATATATGGCGCTCATACGCATATAAAAGCCGAACTGCACTACCAAAAACCTGGTACGTATTGCGAAGACCAAGCCTTTAATAGCAGACATGCATGAACTTTTTAGCTTTGTTAGATGCGGTGTAAGTCTGCATTATCCTAAAGTAATTGACGCGCTAATCCAGTACTGTGCCCACGCCCTGAGGTACACGAA